TTTTGTACACAGTCCGGGAAAAGAGGCACAAGGAGGGAGAGAGTGACATCTTCTCCCTCTGCTCTTAGTGTGGGTACATGGTGAACTCAGAAGCCCTGATCTGATGAGTGTTCTGACCAGCACCTGGTCAAAGTGTCCTCTAATGCCTGCCTGGGAAATGCCATGCATTACTTCGTCAGGTGCATCAGAGAAATGTGGGTCTGACAGGCACCCAGGCACAAGAGAAGATAAGCACAGTGACATTAAACCACAGCCAAAGCTTATCCAACCCACCTTAACTAGGAAGTGCTTCCCACATCCATCTCTATAAATGCAACTTTTGAGCACTTACAGATTACCCACCCCACATATTCCCATTACACATTCTTCATCCAGAGGTCCATCTAAGCAAACCTCATACCTGATGGGAGCCTGGAGCAGATGCTTGTGGAAGCTATCAAGGTAAAACAGAACTGTCTCCAGAAACCTCTGGTGCAGGAGCTCCCTGACCTAGTGACAATGCCTGTGAACATAATAGCACCAGGTGAAGTTTAGTTTGGATATTTGGAAAATTTTCTTCACTGAAAGGGTGGTCAAGCATTGGGACAGATGGTGGAATCACCATCCCTGAAGGAGTTAAAAAAATTTGTAGATGTGGTGCTTAGGGAATGGTTTAGTGGTGGGCCTGACAATGTCAGGTTAATTGAGGGGACTAGATCTCAGAGGTTCATCTTCCATGAATCCATTAAAGTCCTTTTAAAAATCATGCAAACTTTCACTATCTTTACCAAGCTTTTCTGTGTAAAGATTCATTGCCATGAGCCCGTCTTCTCTAGAGCTAAATATAAAATCCCCCCTAAACCACTGTACAGCACTGTACACAGTGAATAATGAAAACCAGAGCACATGGAAACCCTGATGGGCATTGCTCTGAGGGTTTTCTTATGGAAAGCAAACACCAGTGACTGCAGTTATGGGCTGCAAAGAGAACACACAACAGGCTGTGCATCCTGCCTCCCCATGCATCCTGGGCAGATGCAGTTCAGGGAAGTCACATGTGACATCACTGCTGGAGGAGACTAGGCAAAATACACTCAGAAAAAGGGAAGGGAAGTTCAGGGAAGGGAAGGGAAGTTGAGGGAAGGGAAGGGAAGTTCAGGGAAGTTCAGGGAAGGGAAGTTCAGGGAAGGGAAGGGAAGGGAAGTTCAGGGAAGGGAAGTTCAGGGAAGGGAAGGGAAGTTCAGGGAAGGGAAGGGAAGGGAAGGGAAGGGAAGGGAAGGGAAGGGAAGGGAAGGGAAGGGAAGGGAAGGGAAGGGAAGGGAAGGGCCTGAGACGCGGCGCGGCCGGCGCTTTGCCGCCCCCTAGCGGCTGCCTCGAGCTCCGCCGGGTTTGGAACCTCGTGGGATTCAGGCCCTTGGCAGCGGACGAGAGGCCTGGAAAAACGCTCTCAGTTCTGGAAGGTTTTTATAGCAAAGCTTTACTGGACTCAAAGCTGAGCCTGATTTTTGCTTCTGAAGGCTTTTTTTTTGTTAGAAGCCTCGCCTGTGAGCCCCCTGACAAAGATAGCCTGCCACAAGCACAAAACCCAAAACTGTTGGATCAGATGAGTCTGGGGAAAAGCTGAGGCACGGGAGGATAACACATGGAAAATATATGGTTGTGAGCCCCTTTGAAACGGGCATTAGCAGTCTTCTGTCTCTCTGAGAATTGCACTAGAAGTACATATCTGGGTTTGTCTGCTCATGTGTGATTTCTACACACACAGACACATGCACTGCGAAAAATTGAAATGATGGAGCAAAAAAGCTTTCTGTAATTAAAGGACCATTCCCTTCTATACTTGTATTATTATATCTTTGTACAATTCTGAATAGTACAGTATCATTTCCACTGTTCTGTATAAGAAATATTCATTAGAGCATGTTGTAAAGTAACAACTTAACTCCTGGTTGATGAATATAGAACATGTCAGCAAAATCTGTGTCCACTGAAAGCCATAGATGTCTTTCTCTCCTTAATGTTAACTCATTTTACAATGAGCTGCTAAATGAAGTGCATCCTGTCTTTATAGATCAAAACACCTGGCAGATCAATACCCAGCCTGGAAATGGGTCTGCAGGTTTCCAGTATCTCTTCTGTAAATAACTTAAATTCTCTATACAGCCACACCAACAGAAATCCCACAAATCCCATGCCCAGGGATTGTCTCTGCTGGCTTCTGGTTTGGGAATGGGACAATAAGGGCATAGCATACTTCAGAGGTAGACATGCAAAACAAAATTAAAGTCACTAGAAAGGTTTCTTGTGACCAGAATGGTCAAATAACTAGACAATTTGAGTTCACCAAACTGAGATTTACAAATTGAAGACATACTACTGGAAAAAGAAAACAAAAGAAGTGCAGTTTTGTAGCATCAGAGATTACGTGTCTTTAAATGGCAACTTCTTACAGTTTGAAGTATCATTCCTGGAGTAGATATTAAGTGCAGTTAAACCAAGGTACTCTTTATTTGAAACACTCAATTGGTTTCTCTTAATATGCTATACCTACACCCTACATGTCCCCTTAATTTATAGTTGAAACAAGACTATTTGGGAAATAACCAACTGATTACCAGTCCTAAATATGGCCACACAAATCTTATGCTATTTTATGACAGTTTGGAGCCACCAGCTGCAAATATGAAACATAGGCCCCAGAAAAAATTTAATGTCCTTGAAATATTTCTGTGTTTAACTAAAACATTGATTTGTTTTCCCAATGTTTTTTCTTACTTGGGAGGAAATGAATGAATGAACTTTTTAAAACAATAGCCATCCATCACATGGAAAATGTTCTCTTTTCATTGCTGTATTTCAGATATGCACCAGGAAGCTGCCAACTAATCTCTAGCACTCCGATTTTCTAGGCATACTCTACATTTTAGAACAATGTCTATTTGCAAGAATTATTCTTTAATTATCTTTTCAGGTCCATCTCCTTTAAGATTTGTTGTTGCCAGCTAATCAAGCCAATGCTGACAATGGGGAGATTAAACCTCATAATTGAATGTGGCAATATCTGCCAGCACAAGTCTGCAATCTTCATTTGCTACCTTCATTTTTAAGCAGGAATTCTAATTAAGCCAAAAGCAACCTCAGGGTGTCAGTAGAATATAGCTATGTACATCCAAAGTACCTGCTTAGACTCCGGCTCACAGGCTCAGATCTGGTTGTCAGAACAGAGGCCACACCATCAAAGTTTGAGGCTTTCATTAAAGCCGTTGCACTTTCATGAAATTTACCCCCTGGCATTCTCCAGTAGGATTCTTGTGCCACAGGCTGAGGACTCTTTCTGACATAAGAGCCCTAATACAGTGACAATATCCAGACTTGTAGACAGAATTAATACTGCTCCAGTGCTTGTTAATTTTAGTGCAGAAGCTCTTTCATTTAAGCATCTACCTTTACAAGAATGCTGGGTCCAGGCTGCCATTCAAAGCAGTTGCATTCCTGAAAAGGGTGGTGTGAGGGCAGGCTGAAGAGAGTGTGCAGACAATCTCTCACCTTTAATTTCAAATGCTCCAGTGTCTGACAAAAACAAACCCCCACTGTGCTCAGAGAATTCAGTCTCCCCTAAGAGCAGGACCCGTACCATTTCTCACAATGCCTCTACAAGGCCTGTGGTATTTTTCCTCAAGCTACTTCCTACATGCTTCTCCTGTAAGCCTTCCCATAAAGACAGTCCTCAGTTTCTCTCTAGCAGAGAGGAAACCTGCTTTTAGCAACTTTTTACCTCCAACTGTGAAAGGCTCGCCAAATATGCAACAAAAGAGGAGTCTTTTCTCACCCTTAACCATGTAACATACCCTATTAAAAGCTTTGTTTTCTCCTATGGCTACAAAAATCTTTGGGAAGAAGCTCTAAATCGTGGTGGTTCTGAATTGATGATGGCTTCTGCTCACTGTATTTATGCTTGGTCAAAATAAAAAACAGCAAAGAGGAAATTCATGGAGTCCTTAACTATTTTCATTCCACATGATATTACAGAGTTGGTCTGCTGAAACTGAAGCAAAGATGAGAAATACCATGCCTAGCTACAGATTTGATGCTAGGTTCCAGAAACACTCTACTGACAATATTCACATTTTTATTGATATTTTTCTATTTTTACTGAACAGAAATTCAAAGAATTCACAATCCTTAGTTTTAAATGTGTTTACACAACTTAAGTTGGTTTTATTCATTACCAAATGATCGCTCACAAAGTGAAAGCCACTAAGAATGAAAAACATAAGATCAGGCCATATATCCAAAAATTAAAACTGCACAGGTTATATGTAAAGATATGTTTTCTTTGAAAAAAAGTTTTAATTTGTAGTCAATTGTGAAATAGATAATGGTAGAATCAAAATTGTATTATTAAATACACTGACTGTGAAAATGAAATATAAAATTGGTCATAGTTCTTGAATGTCACTATCAACCTTACGTGTATAAAAATCAGGCCCTTATGGTATACAAAACCTTATTTATACATTGAAACAATTGTTATCTTGCCTGATAAGAAATACAGAAAGAAAAGATGCTGGAAATTTAACTTAAGATGAAGTATTTTTCCAAAATATTACTATGAAAATGGCAGGTACATGTTTTTTTTTTTTAATAAAATTTGCTGAAACGTCTTGCCAATTTAGATATGTGGAGAGCATAGAAAGAGCACATTCAAAAGTCAGCATTACACTTATTTTTATAATTTTTTCTGCTGGTTCTGAGATTTTTTAAGAGACAGTTGAATAAAAGCTGACAAACACTCAGCTTAATCCTTTTTCTGAAAACTCAGTTCTTCTTGAGGCCTTCTTTCTCAAGCTGGAACACTATAAATGCTGACATTTACTAATAAAAATTAATAACTATATTATAGAAATATCTAACAAAGTTTTAAGACTGAACCATTCAAGTGAAGATGAAAGGTATTTATGATTGTAGTGATACATCATTCCACATAAGTGCAAAGAGAGATATATTTCTATTTTCATACGTTAATGGAAATATGGATAATTGGTTCTCCGAATTTTCATGGAAACTGATTTAATTTTGACTGGCTTTTTGTTCATTGTCCATGTATCCCAGTGAATGCCAGTTGCAAGGAATCTCCCTCTGTAGCGATGAACACCATTAAGATTTGCAAGGCCACACTTGTTGAACCACCATCCCGTGTTATCACTGAAATTACTGCAGCTCTTTACTGGCTGTCCTTTAATAGTGCACATTGGCCTGCATCCATCATTATCAACATCAAAAGTGCTGAAAGGCATGGAATTTTGGTTATCTTCTCTTCTATATCCTCTAAATGCATCACCTAAGTACAACAGATAAACAAAACCATAAAGTTATTTACGGAGAAATGTTTCTTACTTGATGCACACCCTGCAAACTTTTCCTCTGAATTTATTAAAAAAGTAGAATTCTTCAAAAGCAGTTCAAGAGCACCAGCTAATGAGCTGCAAAAGTGCTAAAGATGCAGGGAAAAAAAGAATAAAATACTGAGAAATATGGAAGAAGTTAAAATTCAACAAAATGTCTTCATATTTTCCTTGCTTTTAGCAATGAATGCTGGCTATGAAGGTAAAGGCTTCTGTCTTCCTCAAAGACAGAGGAAGAAGAGATAAAAGTAAACAAAAAGGGTTGCAACTTCAGATTTTCCAGTAACATGCCCAAAGCCCCAGAGTGAGTCATGAAACACGATGGAATTGTTGAAACACAAAGGTCAGTTATTACTGTCTCTGTTGTCTTACTAGAGAACTTACTGAAGAAATAGTATTTTTCACAAATGCAGAGTAAAGCACTAACACTTTTAGAGATTAACTATTTCATTGATAATAACGACCATTCTTGCATAACACAGAAAAAAGCAGTAAGACATGATGCAATGCTTAATGCAAATCTTTGCACGCTTAGTGTATTTATGCTATTAAAGGAGGTCTGGAATTAATTTGTGTCTATGCTTCACCCAGCAACTATTACACACTGTAGAACAGCCTTGTTCCACTCAGTTTCTTTCTCTGTCCTTTGTACATGACTATCTGGGCACTTCTGAATTATCCAAAGCATCAGGAAGACTGCCAGTAACATCTGTGATGAGATAAAGGGCATCTAAATAATTGAACCATTAGGTAAATAAACACTAACACCTACAAAATCCCTTATTTATTTTATATATATATCCCATTCAATTTTATTTTTTTTTATTACAGGCATAATAGATCACCATATAATTAAAATTTTATCTGCATAAATGTTCATTATATACCAGAGAAAGACACATTAGAAATAAAATTTTTGAAGTTAATTATTATTCTTTTGAATGTGTTTTTTTTTCATATTAAACTACCTTTAAATACTTCTAGGAAGGAAGTTCTTACCAGCATTTCCTGAATAATACCCCAAATGGATCTTAAAATAACATGATTCATCCTCTATCCAAAATCCATCATATGAGGCATAGGCATGCTTGTCATTTTCTGATTCCAAATCCACATAAAGACTGAAATGAGTGGCCTTTTGATTTACAATGTCAAAAATCTTCCTCAGTCCAAGCCAAAATTCTCCTTGAAGAGAAATATAATATATAGTCTAGAAATGGAAACTGTAAAAGAAAAAGTGATTGTTTCTGTTTTTTTACTTTCCTTCCTGAACCAAATGTAATAAAAGTTGCATGATATGCTTATATTCCTTTGAAAGACTAATGAAGGAACAGAGTAATCTTCCCATTTCCTTAGGAAATCCCTAAGAAAACCCATGTGTGCATCATGGGTTTTGTTCTCTGTGATATTTTTTTAGAAAATTGTCCAGATGATAGATTTCAAATATTTGTCTGCAATATATCCTAGAAGACCACAAAAACTGGATATGCTAAAGATCCACTTGCATGACCAGAACTCAGTATCACTCCTAAGGGCAATACAGAGAAATGATAAATGTTAGCATTCTATGAAATGCAAAAAAAAAAAAAAAAAAAAAAAAAAAAGCAAACCCTATTCTCAAAATTTAAGCTCTGTTCTCAAGATTTGCTGCCTCCATAAATCACAAATGTAGCCTCATATGAGCTGCACTTCTTTGTAGAGAAAAGCTGCATGCTTCCATCATTGCAATCCCAGATAAACTTCTGAAAAAGCAAATGGGTTTAGTCTGGCAGGATTAAAGGTGGCAATAAAAAATTAATATCACAGTTGTGTTGGTATAGGGTACTGAAATATTTCCATTGTTAATAACTTTGCATGCCCTATGGTGAAATATTTTTGATTTTTCTCTACTCTAAGGAAATGAGTGATTCAAACCAACAAAGGCACTCTTTTTTTAATCTGAAAAGAGAAGAAATACAATCTATTATTTCAAGCAGAAAATATAATATTTTTTACACTCTTGTAAGACTGCAATAACTAAAGACTCTAGTGGGGTTATAGTCATTATCAGGAAGATCACACAACAGATTTGATTTCAAAAATCCTTAAGTAAAAACAAGACTTTTAAGAAACAAGAACTTCATACTGCCAAAACTACCACGCAATTTAGTGGAATGTAGCTCACATAAAAGCAGGAGAAATGTGGGATCCAAAGCACTTTAGAGTATTTAAAATTAATACCAGTAAGATCACCAAATCCATCCAGATATTCAGACCATGTTCTCTGAAACTGAACAATTCCATCAGTTCTTTTCTGAATCACAGTCCATCCACCTCCTCGAAAATCCATGTCACACAAAACCTAAAATAAACATAGGCATGATTAAGCATTCTTGAAGCAGTTTTTATGAAAAACACATTTTAATTAAATAAAGGTGGACTATTCAGAGTTTTGCTAAGTAACATGTTTTTCAAATATCTTTTAAAAAAAGCTCTAAGAAAATAAAAAAATAAAGCTGCAGTATTTTCTTATATGTTCTTGTTGAACTGTTTGATTAGGATATTTCTTCAACCAGTAGAAACTGCTGTGTGTAATAGTCTGCTCATAACAAATATAATAAATAAGCTTTGATAAATGTCGCTGTAACATATCTAGCATGAAAGGGAAGCAACTTGCAATGTCATGTATTAATCAGGCAGCATATCATTGATACAGGTAGCAACACCAAATAAACTTGTATTGCAGCAAAGCAAAATAAACACAACTTCTTGTATGTTCTCTGTCACCACCACGCCTTCTTCCAGAGAATGTGTTTGTGGTGCCTGGGAAATTTAGAGCCTTTAATAAGGGTGAGGAAACAGAAAACAGTGATAGCAATAACCCAGAATACAACAATAATTTGCAGCAGCAAAAACCTCTACATAAGAAGTGGCCCCGATCCAGGAAAGTCCCAATGTGAACATATAACTGCCTGCAACTGAGCAATACCACTGCATGCATAAGATCAACTCTCAAATTTATGAGTCTTTAGGAGTCTTTGCTAAAATTTGTGCCCAGCAGTATGTCAAATGGCAGTGGTCCAGCTGCCATCTGCTCTGCTTTGGAATATCACATTATGTGGCACGTTTTCTCCTCAGCCCATCTAACTTAAGATTTGTAATTGACTTTCCTAAGTATATCTGCAGTGCCAAATCTTGATCAGTTCTAACTGGGATTATAAAGTCTGGAAATCTAATTTAGAAAGAGCATATTGCACATTTATACACTGCACTCCCTAAGTTATTCAATGCAGTTCTAAGGGATTGTATCCATAATTAGTGTTTGAAAACAGGGGCTCATTTTTGTCTCCAAAGGTGACGAATATCAGAATTAACCTGGAAAATGCTTATAGGTAGTGAGCCAGTAAGCTTCTTGTGGTAACAAAAGTAAGTTCAGAATATAATATTGGCTGTGATAACACTAAGCCGATGCGCAATTGATGGAGTAAAGTACAAAATATTTTTGATGTTACAGGAAATGTACAAAATGAAACAAAATGAAACATGTTTCAGAAAAGAGAGATTTGCAGTCTTAGTCAGCTGATAAAAGTGAAACTAGGTGTAAGTCAGTTTAACCCTCAAAAAAATTTGTGTCAGACTGAGCATTACATGTTGCACCTCCACTGCCTGTGGTAGCCAGATATTTTTCAGTAAACCAGACTTACTCCTTAGCAGGAAAATATCAATATTATAGTTAGAGCCTCTGTGATTTAACAATGTCTTCTCAATGAATGACAAGAAAGCAACAGGAAGAGCTGCAATTTGATCTAATACACCCTGAAGGATCTTGGACCTTCAAGTAAGATACTTCAGGCAATTCTTGCAAAACAAATACTAAATGAATCATACTAAGGTTTTTGTGCATGAAAAAAGAATTGTGACCTTTATTCCCTGGAGAGTCACATGCTTATTTCAGTCACCCAAGGAGGATAGAACTGGAACAAAAAGAAATACAGAAGATTCCAAAATGAATATTTAGATGAAAATACCTAAACCTCATTCAAAATAATACCATTGCCTCATCCACTGTCTTGAGTAGATAATTGCATGCTTGGCTACTCCTCTGATTATGAGTCAGAAATACTATGAGGATCCCACTTGGTCATAACATCAATCTTCGGTCCAATATAAATCAATGTGAGTGTTGATAATTCACAGAAGGAGGGGATATGGTTCTACATGAGAGGCCATTAGCCAGTTAGATACAGCACCAATACATACACCAGCTAAATAAAAATATTAGATAGGTACAGAAAAACACAGTTATAGCTGTGTAGTTTTCTTAATCCCTTATGGAAATGTTGCAATTGTAAAGCCTTATAATAGTTAATCTGCTTTACAGTTTGCTCTGTCTCATATCATGAAAGGTATGAAGGACATGATTGTGCCAGGTACAAGCTAAATTAAATGAGAAGGAGGACACTTCTACTGAATATTTCTTCCACTTTCCACCTGCAGTGTGTATAAGAGGTATACTCTAAACAATTGCATAGTTTGTCTGATTCAACTGAGAAATATCATTGATCTAAATTTACTGATTGAAAAATGTATCAGAAATTGGTCATGGTTCATTTTTCCAAAAGTAAAAATTGGTTTTAATAATCTCATTAATAAATGCTCAGGAAAAAGCTCAGGAAAAAGCCTAGTTGAGAGTAACTTTCTGAGGTGACAGAAAGCTGCCACTGCCACTAAAGCTAGGTATTTTTATTGCTCCTGGCATCTGGAGTTCAATTAGCCCAAATTAAGCATAAAAATCTATACTCACTTTTGGAAACATGAGGTATCAAACATGAAAAATAAGAATGGGATCACATTTTCTAAATAGTTTTCATTTAACTGATATCTTTATGCATATTATTCTAAACACATTTTCATTTAGGTTCCATTGCATAAAAATACATTTTATTGCTGCAAAGGTCTTCATTTGATATAAATTGTTTCATGTTGGTTTTTTTCTTGTTTTCTAGTTTCTTACTGTGATTTTCTTCCTCTGTATTTTTTCTTATTTTGCTGGTCTGCAGAACATTTAGAACTCTTGGTTATTAGCCTCTAAAAGATGCTTTATAATTTTTTGTTTATGTTCAAATATCTTGATATTTTTGTCTATCTACCATTTCTCTTGTATTCTTTTTATGCTTCAACACATTAAAGAATTCACATTAAGTAGTTTTCCTTAAAATAACATTCTTTATGGAACACATATTTTAGAAATTTTTTCTCTGAGAGCTTTTTGGCACTGTCTTTCAAGTTCTGTGCAACATTTACCAGACAAGAAATGAGACACTCACGACGGCAAACATTCTTCTCATTATTTATTGTTACCTTGTTCTTTTAATCAAATTGCTATGATTTTTCTTTTCTCTTTCTGGAATTACCTTCAATCCAGAAGAAATTATTAAACAGATGCAATTTTTGCTATAGTTGCATTTTGCTCATACTACAAATATGGTTGTTCTGTGAACACTGCAACATCTTTGCCTTTCTTTTACATGGAAGGGACTTACTGATGAGTTACAGATCTTTTTCCTGAGCTCCCTGCATTGTATGGAGAGAATGACAGGTTTTTATATCAAAGGTTGCAGTATCAAGTTCATATTTTTCTTTTGAGATGCCAGCATAATTCTGAAACCTTTTCTTAACCAGTTTAAGCTCCTTTTTGTAGGATTTTGAAGGGCTCCGCTTGGCTAGAGATAAAGGGATTCATTTTTCCTTTGTTACATATAAAGGAACACTATGAAGATAGATATTAAACCTTGCTAGTTATTGCTTGGCTTAAATTCCTTGTTTTTTCTTCAAAAAATAATGACCTCAACCTGTATGGCAAAGTTGAAGGTTTGAAAGTGCCATGTCTACCTTTCTACTACGTATAAGTCCTTCTCTAAATAGAACAGCCTGAAATGGAAATAAACACAAAAAACAAAATATTCCTTGTGTTTGAAAGGATCTTAATAGTCATAGTCTGAGGAAATTAACCCAAAACTCCATTCTTCTAGATAAGCACTATTAATCTGAGCAATTACATAAAGTGCAAGCAGTGATAGGAAGCATGATTGCTGCAGTTTGTTTTAGGGATATATCCTTGTCTTAGGAATATAAATCCTGCAAACTGCATAGAAAAACCACAATTTTAGATCCCCCTGTGCCTCAAGACTGGATTATAATGATACTCAGATAATGTTTCTATTCCTCAAACCAACATCTGCACCTACACTTGGATGACTCTGCGTCCATGTAGTCCCATCACAAGGGAAGGCAACGTTATACAGACAAATCACTCAAAATCTAAAAGTCCTGTCTTAAAAGCCACATGAGTCAGTCAATTGCTCTTCAGTTTTCCATCTCTAAAACAGCAAAGAACAGCTCTTCTCCATATCCAAAAGAGGTACTGGTAAACACCTTGGGTTTTCCTCTTTGGTATTTTTCACTGCATATGAAAACTGACAATGGACTCTTATGACAGAGATTAAATTTCTTTATAGAAAATAAGAAACTTGTCAAAATTATATGAAAAGCAGACATGTGCAGATGATTTAATACATTTTTCATTCATCTGTTGAAGAATTGTCATGGAAAACACTTTAAGTCTATTAAAAATATTCTAAATGTATATTCTCAAGCAAATTATGACTAATAATAAATTTATTACCTCAAAAGGATAATTTGATCCTTCTGGATGGATAATGTACAGACCACTTGGAGTTTTTGAAACTGAACCAACAGTATCTTTAATATGAGTACAGTCCAAACCTAGAGAAAAAAAGGTATACAAGGAAGTTCATGAGCAAAATATGTTTTTTAAAAAATACAGATTAATACAGGAATATTACTTTTCTTGGTGGCATGAATTATTTAAAATATAATTTTCTTCTCATGCAAACTTTAAAATCATGCTTTGTCATGAATTTATCTTGCAAATTAAAATTCTCTGAACACCATTGAGCTTCTAAGTACAAATGACACTGTATTGACAAAGTTCTTTCTAATCTTAATAGATATGATATATACCTATATGAAATTAAAGATTATATATCTGGGTCCATTTACTGATTTTTTTTATTTATAACACCTGGACCATGAAAAAGATATATTATCTGAGAAATAATATTATATTTAGACTTGTAAAAGCCTTTCCATCTTAAAGTATGCACAAAAAACATTCCATTTGAAGAAGGATACTGCAGATGCAGTATTCATTTCATTGCAAAAGAATGTACCATTCAGCAGCCTCAGATCACTTACTAGCTAATAATCATACTTGGTATTTTACATAAAAAACAGCATGCTAAATAGGATGCCCAGAGTTGTCAGTTGCAAATGATTTAAAGCAGTATTTATGATAACACTTTTAAACAGTTTATTAAGTTTCCAAAGTTTATTTGTTACTAACACAGGATAAATGTCAACGTAGAATTGCTTACCTTTGCTTTAATTAGCTCCTTTTCAAGATACAAAGAAAAAGGGAAGGTGTCAAGCCTACATCTGAAAAATACTTACCATGAGATTGAACTGCTTTATAAGGAAGTGGATCCAGATGTTTTCTCAAAAGTACTGTGTTCAAAAGAACAAGTTTGTTCATAAGTTCATTTACCTGCAAATTCAAATAAAAGATCTTTAATTAGGTTGCAATGAGAAATTTTACATTCTAAAGATTTTTTTCCTGACTCCTAATAAACATAATCTGAAGTTAATTTTTGTGATGTGTAGTAATTACTAACGTGAAGTAATGGCCCTCCACCTTCCCTACTGCAATGTATGACACTAAGTTGTGAAATGGGGTGCTTACCACTCCTTGTAGAAATGGAACTCATATTCCAGAGGTACAAGGACTGGTGATAAAACATTCTAATGCTACTGGTTTAAAGACAATTTAATGGTTTCATGAGCCATATTTTTCCTCAGAAAGACAACACCTGCTGTGAGAAATAACAAATACAAATCTTTATTATAAAGGAAAAAGTACCTGATTAGAAAGGTAATCCAGCGAAGACTGTTGATCATCCATCATGTCTCTTACCAGCTTTTTTGTACTTCTGGCATATTCAGCAAGAGAGTTCTGCAAATTTCCTTCAGGAAGAAATATGTTCATCCCTTTTGTTTTCATAACTCTAGAAATATTCTTGACTAAATGACAACATACTTATTTATGACATCTAAATGAATATTGAAGGTATTTTACCTTACAGCACCTAAAAGTGAAATGAAAGCAATACAGAGACCACAGATTAAAGCCAAAGGTGCTAAAAACTTCAGACTTCCTGGTTGCAGTACAGACATCTTAAGAAGGGATGGATCTTCTCATGTTTTGAAGAATAAATTAATCTTATCCTTGGATAAACTGGACAACCAGTTAATGTATATCACAGAAATATAAATGCATATGATAAAAGACAGATATATATAAGACTTCTTGTCACCTTACATTTGCTCATTCATTGTACTACTCCTGGTTTTTGCTCTGATGCTAAAAATCACGATCATCATCATAATGGCATATTATAATAATATATATTTTGAAATCATATGTGAAAACCAAGAATTTGCACAATTATTTTCAGAGACTGACTGTATAATTTGTTGTGTAGTTTGTCAAGCCAGTGCATAGAGAATATCCTGTGTAAGCCTCCATAAAAGTAAGGTGAAGTACACATTTACTCCCATGTAACTGACTAATTAATTAATTACCTCCCACTTACACCTCCACACCCAGCTATGATGTTTAAATGAGCAACAGACATCCTCCTCTTCCTCTCTAATTGAGTGAGATACTGACATTCAGAGCATAACAGATCTAGGTGGGTTGTGTGGCTGCTTGGATTTGCCTGTCTTCACCAATGATTATGTCACACCATCTGCATCCCTAAAACAGGGTAACCCAGATTTTCTGGACAACACAGTTTGGGCAGCAGGGTCACAAGGCTGTCACGTGTGCTCAAGAAGATTAAAAAATAAGTTTGCACAGCATAGCATAGCAGAGGAGAGGATTGCATAGCATGGCACTGCACAGCTCATCACTGAAAGTATTCTTTATGAATACATACTGCACATGTAATGTTTGTCCCCTCGTAAAATTTTAGCTTGAGCATCACATGGTACAAGGCATTGTTCTTTTTGTTTTGAAATATCTGCAGATTTATTTTTCTCTTCTGCCTGGAGTGGTTCCTCCACAGCTCCAACATTCCTTGTGTCCTGTTGTACCAAACAATGGAGGGGGAAATAAATTGAACATAAAGCACACATAAAATAGCTCAGTTTGTCAAAATGAAGTATATTGCTTCACAGGACTTCCTTCAAAACCTGTTTTTTAAAAGCTTTATCAAGCAATAATTGACAGAGCTGAGACCAAAACTGATTAGATGTTCTCTGCTTAACCATACCTCACAAGAAAAAAGTAGTGTTAGAGATAAAGAATAACCTCTATATATTAAAAAAATACCCCCACCATTTCTGGTGAGGTATTATACTTGTAAGCACTGTAAGTGGGAGGCAAGAACTTGCAAATTCTGCATTTTAGGAATCACCACACCCAACAGGTATCTCAAATGCTAATGAACTTATTTTTGGCTTTTGGATTGACCAGATATTAGCAAAGTACTTTTACTCTTGAAAATCCCTACATTAATTATTTAGACACTGGTCAAGGAAGTAGTTGCATAAGTTTTTAACTTATGCACACAAGCAGTCATGATAAAACTTATGCAACCACTGAGAAGATTTGCAGACCAATTCAGCAGTAAAAGAAATATTTTAAATGTTCTTATAGGGGAAAGAATAAAGGGACAGTATTTGTGGGCAGACAATTATCTGAAACAGTAACAATAACAGCATTAGTAAAAGTAGCTCCACCTATTATTGTTATTTTAAAATTGTATATTCATATTTAATAGTTTTTCTTCCATGGTGCCATATGACATAAAATAAGGGAATGCCTCTGAATCATCACTTAAAGAAATGACTAAAAGGAATTAAAAAAAGATGTGTCATTGTCAAAAGACTAAGCAACATATTTTCATATGAGTCTTTGTTTGATGATTTCATCATCTCAGCAAGACGTTTATAGTGTGTTCATATATTGTGTTTTCAATGTAAATAGGATCCTTAGAAATGTCAAGATTTTAATGAAAAACAAAAGTTATTTAGACTTGAATACATCTTCATCATAATTGTTCTTTCCTGCTCCAGTTTTCTCTTTCTGCAATTGGTACTACACCAGCAAGCACTGAACAGGGTTTTTTGCTCTTAAAAAGTGAAAGGAAAAATTACAGAAAACTGTTAACAAAGGAATTTTACAAAAAAAGGTTTCTGAATTACTAATATAATTTCATTTTATGCCTGGAGAATGATAGAGAAGCAAAAGAATGTGTTTCTTTAATTTTGAAATAAGCACAAAATAAAGAAAGAAAAATTATGCAAGAGTTATAAACAGATCTCTAGAACTTATAAATAGAACACTTGAAATTATAGCTTGTTCCAGGGCTATCACAGCTACTCACCAGATGTTCAATTAAACACTGTTAAGCAAATATTTTTAATCAATATTTATAATCAATATTTATCTTTACCAAAAGCCAACATGAAACAAGAAATTAAGTCTGATCTCAGCAATTCAAGCAAGAACTGACTCTGCCAAAACCAATAGTTACTCTGCATTTAAAGTCATGCAGACGAGATTAAAAATATGACATAACAACTGAGCTGTGAGACAGGACATTAACTCAAAAATGTTCTAATATATTGAATTCCTACAATTTCAATGTAGTTTCTTTTCTCTATCTGAAAATACCTGATTCTTCTGTATTTTCATATCTATCTTGAATAAAGCAATCCATATTTTTGGAACATCTGTCAGTTTTCTGAGAAATCATTAAGTTACATTAATTGTCTTATCTGAACAAAGTAACAGAAAATCTTACCTTAGGTGAACAAGGTAGGCCATTATTTATGACAGTCTCTCCTAAACCGAACAAAAAGATATTAAGACAAATAAATGAAGTTACCCTAAAGTGGTGGCTCATCTTTTACTTGAAGAAATGCAAATGTTTTGATGAGTTTCAAATTTCTGTGGAAAGAATTGTACACTATGAAGGCCTGATCTAACTATTTGGGAATGTCTACAGCACAAAGGGCAGCCAACACATCACTCTTTTACTGCCTGGATTTAATAAACCACATTTCAACTGCACAGCAGATTTTATATATTACTACTTGCATCCTCAAGGAAAATTACTGCTTATCACCGCTACATGACACATCAAACATATATATTTTCATTGTGATAAACTCTGACAGATTTTCTTATATGCTATTTTTGAGCATTTGTGTATATTTGGCATGAGTGTTCTGGGCTACTTGAAAGAAAAATTAGTATTACTTCATGTTTTCAATTTTTTACCAAGTTTTTTTTTTTTCATTAAAATTAAAGAGTCTGTATTGCTGTGGTGGTAGTGCACTAGAACAGGCTGTGGAGGCAATTTGGGAATATGTCATCAAAGTGATTTCAAAATAGAAAACTGAACAGACATTATTTTAAATTAGTACTTTGTATTAAATAGAAAATCTTTTACCAGGAGAATAATAGCAGTATTTTGGTCTCACTGGTAGCCCACCCCTTGTAACACAGGTACTGAGACTATCATTCAGTACAATGATTTTTATCCCTGAAAAAAGTCAAAGTACGAGAGAATGGCATGAAAAAGAAGAAAATTAAATGTAGTCCACAGAAGCTTAATTAAAACTATGAGGCACTTAAGATTTCACTCAATTCCACTACTTTTGTGTCTTGAAACTGGATCTGATAGTCTAAGCAAAAAAAAAGTTCAGAAAGGTCCAACATGTTTATAGAATTTAGACATATAAGAGAATTTAAATCATTTGTGATCTGGCTGAATAAATGAAACCTCAGCTTCCAATGTACCACTGGGAAACACACTTTCTAAAGGATCTTCAGAATACACTGTTCAACTGCACCTTACACTGGTGCAAGAAGGCAATGCTCCAAATTTGGCTTGGTAATCTCCACCTCTAGTGGAGTAGTTAATCTCCACCTCTATCTAAAGCTGGAATACACTAGAAATAGCTTTTGCTACTAAGATTTGTTGGGACCAACCAACATTTGTTGGAAGTGAGGATTAATACACTTTTTAATCCAATGTTTTCTTTTAAAATTATTAGCTAAATGGTACTAAGAACCTGTAACTGAGAAGAGTATATTCAACTGCCTGTGAAATTCTGAACAACTTTGGCTCTTCTTTATCTCTCAAAATCAAATTTTTAATTTTTTTCAAAAGTACCCCACAGTACATAATAGTTTTCCAATATGAGGCTTACTAGGGTATAATTAGTGCATCAGTTGATGCTTTCTCAAGAAGATGCAGATTGTGATCATTAGTTCAGTCTCAGGAAAAAGGTGAAAATATTTCCATGGCTCTCTATATATCATATTAAAGGCAGTTTTTCTTCCTATTTCTATGTACATCAGTAGGCAGAGTGACAAAATTCAGGAATGGTTAAAACAGTCAGAACATCAACTTCTCCCATGCAGTTGCCTACACAGCTTGGAGAAAAAGTATAGGGCATCAGCAGATTAATCCTCCACTGGGACAAGAAGAAAAGAAAAATATGTTTCTGCAGCAGAACAGCTATGCTCCAGCCTTTAAATAAGACTTGTAATAAATTTAGAATCCATCCCACAAAGTTTTAAGAGATGATCTTTATCCTTCAATGGAATATCAGTGGCCAGCCCCAAGTAAAGTTTACGAAACTTCTTTCAAATCTGAGCAGGACCTTCCATTCTGTAGCTACTTAAAATCAGTTTTTTTGCTGCCCCAGAATAACCATACACTTCTGAATTGCATGGGCCCCAGCTTGTCACCTTCTTGTCCCACCATCTGAAAGATGTGAGGTTACTCTTGAGGAGATCCAATAACCATAAAGGAGAACTATGAAGATTTAATTAAAAAGTAAACAAGAGAAAGACAGAAATATATATAAACACTGAATAAGTTCTGAATCTCAGAAGGTGTCTTAAGGTGAAGATGCAAGTTGCACTCTATTAGATGAAAAATTTCAGTAAATCTAAGGAAGCTCAAAATCTGTCAGTGGCATGAGTTGACCATGACCTTCAATCTTCCTAAATGTGACATGGGCCCAAATTCTGCAGTGTCCCAGCTCTGCCTCAGTTCTGCTTGGGTGACACAGTTCTCCAACCTGATAAAGCCTTCTATTGCATCCTAAATGAAACAGTGCATTTTATCAGGCAAACTGGGATTTTAAATGTGTGAGTAGGTTGAAAAGCACACAGTGATAAACTGACAACCATTTTTCCCCCTTCTGCAACACAACAGAGCAGATGGGGCAAAGAAATGGTGAATTTGGGGTTGATTTTCTGAACTAGAGGAGAAAGACTTCGATTTTAGGGTCATCTCAATGGCAGTAACTGGGATACTGTAAATATTAAACACACTTGGCAACCTGACCACCACTGGTCTTGACTGTAAAATGGTAACAGCAACACCCACTTCCCAAACTGTGCTACAAATATGGGGTGGGGGTCTGTGCAGAAAAGTATTTTACAAATGCAGAATACTGTTTTTTACCTTCCTAGTCAAAGACATAGAACAGCTGCACACTGAAAAAAAAAAGGGGAAAAAAAAAAAAGGAAGAATTGGTTTAAGCTCAAATACACCAGCCAAGAAATGTCTCGCCAGGAAACCACCGAGGCATTTAGCCTGTTGCTGACAGCTCATCAGAGGCAGGGCAATATCCCAAGACTACACACCCTACTTTATTTAAAAACAAAAAAAAAAACAAAAACAAAACAAAAAAAAAAAAAAAAAGAAAAAAAATTTGCAGTCTTAAGAACAAACTGGAGGAGTTTTTTGTATTCTTTTTTGTGTAAGTGTATTTATGGATTTTTTAATCTTTTTTCTGTAATACTCATCATTTTGTGCATCAACTGCATGAAACATCTTTTGGTAGTTGATGTTGTTATGTTGTTATTTCTGCACCCTGTGTTTAGGAAAAAAAGTTTATGGGGTTAACTCCAAGTCTTCAGCAGGCCTGAGAGGCACCGCAGAGCTCTGCACACCCGCACGTGGTGTTTGCCCAGGAGAACGCGTTCCCTCGGACCCCATGTGTGTTTGGGGCTTTTAAAGGTCATCCCGCAGTGTACAGCGCTGCAGAGGAGGGAAAGCCCAGCGAGAGCCAAGCACCCTCCCTGGCAGGGCCGGCTCCACTGCTCTCCCAGCCGGGCCGGGCCGGGCCGGGCCCGCGGGGAGCGTGCGGAGCGATTCCCACGCGTGGCTCCCACCCTGGCACGGGCACCGGCGAGGCCCTGACAGGCGAGGCGGGTCCCGGCCCGCCCTCGGGTCCCGGCCCGCCCTGTCCCCTGCGCCAGCCTCGCAGGCAGCAAATGCCGCGGCAGCTGAAGCCTCTGGCCCAGCGCCGCTCCCCGCGCCGCGGCCCCGCCCCGTTGCGAGGGCAGCGGCGTGGCCGGTTGCTACGAGGCCGGGCAGTGGGCGCAGAGCGGCGCGGCGGGGCCCGGCGCTGACTCGGGCGCTGCATGGAGCTCGGCGGGAAGGCCGGCGGGGCGGAGCGGGGGCAGCTCCTCGCCGCGGGGCGGCAGGACCGCGCTGGGGGGCGGCGGAGCGTCCCTGTGTATCCTTCGTGAGGCGGTCCCGGACCGCCAGGGCGGCGTTCCTCGGGCCGGCCGAGCCCTGCGAAGGGGGGCCGGCGCCGCGGGGCTGTGTGGGGCCCGTGACGGGAGGCGGCGGGGCCGGAGCGGCGATGTCCCAGCCTCCGCCCTGCCCCGCGGTCAGAGACCGCCTCAGGGGTGCCTTCAAACTCAAACTTGAACATTGCGGGTTTTAAACTGCCGTGGGAAAGTTGACTTCTCAAGCAACTTCGGAGTTTTCTTGTTTTCCCTTTAATAGGAGATTATGCCACTAGGAATAGTGTTTTCCATCCTAACTTGTGGGTTCTTGTTTTTTTCAATTTTAGTAGTAAGAACTACTGACACAAACTCTTGAGATCCGCCTGCACAGTGCTACTTAAATAATTACTGGCGTGATGCAGGGCTGATCTGGCTCTGTGGAGAGCTTTTATTTAATGATGTTAATCAATTTCAGTGTAAACAACTGATCCTTTAGGGTGTGTGTGGGGGAGCTTTAGTATTTTCCCTGTCATACCTGCATCCTTATGTTGCAGGTTCAGATAACTACACAAAATGAACATAAAGGTGGGATTTTTCAGCTGGTGGCATCATGAAAGATAAGTGCAAAGCCTCTCCTAAAATCCTTTTAAAAATTAAAATGCAATTCCATTTCTTTCTAGATGAGCATAAAGTTAGTTATGACTGTTACATACAGTTATGGAACCTACTCTATAGAAGGCTAATCATACAGGCTATTGTATCATTTAATGAGCAGTTCCATCCAGTTTCTGTTGTCCTTAACACAGTCTTAGGGGTAGAGATTTAATGTTTCATTTTGAACAGGATTTACAAGAAGAACGTCGGGCACTGAAAAAGGATCAAAAAATGCATCGGAGCAAGGCAATGAAATATTTGATGGAGACAAACAGAAGAAGAAGGCAAGTAATTAGGGTTCCTTTAATTGAGGATTGTAAAAAAAAGAGAAAGGCAAAGCAAAAAGAGTCAAAACCTTGAGACAGATCAATATATCTCTACTATTTTCATGTTCACTTTGATAAATAGCTCACTGCTTTGGCCTAGAGGAATCTAAGCTGAAAAGTTTCACCAATCCAGTTTCTTGCCATAGGACAAATAAAATAAAAATAGCAATATTCTGATTTACTCGCTAATTTTTGGAAACTCACTGTCGTCACATCTCATATAAACTAAAGGTAAGTAGCACTTTCATCCTGTGGTTCTGATCTGCAATTCTGGTGTTCTGGCTTTTATTAGTTTCAATGAAGGTATGAAAAATGCACTCAGCTGTACAGTGTGGACCAGCAGAAGGCAGTTGTTGCCTTCTGAAGTGTGTGTTTTTCTGTCTGC